GCTAGGCAAACACCGTCTGAGCCATAACTTAGTAATGGCAGAACTTTTCGCGAGGCAACTTGGCTCATTTTAAAGCTCTTGGAGCGAGCTTCGATATAGCGAATTCTCAGCTTAATCCGATCGACGGTCTGCACGGCACGCTGCGCGACGTTCAAGGTGCTCTTGCTGTTTTGACTAAGTCCTTCTTGATCCCTCTCTCTACAAACTCGGACCCGAGGATAGGGGCTGGTCTTGTACCAGGCACCCAGGGACCCTTGGAGGTGACCCCGAGGAGAGGTTTTAAGTTTGATTAAGTCCTAATAGCTTGAGTTTATTAGGCCCTTACACCAACACTGAACAAGCACATGCGTATCAAGTGGCACTGGCTGCGTAAGGAGGTGAAGAGGGGGACGGTGAATCCAATCTACATCAAGACTCACCAGCAGCCAGCAGACTTTCTCACCAAGAGGCTTGCGGATGAGCCTCATTGGCGTTGTGTGCGCATGAGTGGAATGAGCATGAACTAGCATGGAATGACGGGGATGCAGCCGGCAGGCTGAGGGGGAGTGTGTTGGGTGCAAATGCACATTGCACGACATCCTGCCGTCTGTTTGTACGAGTATGCGTGTGCGAATGCATTTGCGTGTGAATGGTGTGTTCGTGTGTTTGTTTGCTTTCGCATTTTTTGCTTGATGCATTTGCAGGTACTCGCGCAATGTGCGCTTTGGCACAACATTGTATGCGCTATGAACAGTGCAAGCAGGAAGGACGAGCTCGCAAAGGAACCCAAGATGGAAGCTTTGCAGTTCGGTTGAGTTGATTGCGCAGATTCAGTTCTATCCAACTCGGAATTGTACTGTTTTGTTTGGTTAACTATAGTGTAGCAGGGAAGGCACTATAGGGGTACAATTTAGGTGAAGGTTGGATGTTGTTTGTCTGTATCTGCATGCTACAAGGCCAGGGGAAACCAGCGGAACCAGCATTTGGCTGGTTGGGCAAAGACAAAACAGGTTCTGTTTTTAGAACCTGAACCTGGTTGTTGTTTTCCCAGGTTGGAAAAACAGAACCAGAGGTTGTTTACCAACCTACCACCTGCTATTTTGTCCAGCCAGGTTGGTTCTGTTGCTTGGAATTATTTGGGATCATCCCTGGTTGTTCCCAGGTTGATTCCCAAGGTCCTTGCTAGCTAGAACTATTTAATCCTTCTCTGTTTGTACCTGAATATAGTCAAATTGATTCAAGAGAATTCCTTCCTCGCTGGAATTTCGTTTCTACGCGGTTCGTTGGCGGAATGCTACCCGAGTCAACGCTAGTACGCTAGCACTCTAATGCTAGGCAAACACCGTCTGAGCCATAACTTCGTAATGGCAGAACTTTTCGCGAGGCAACTTGGCTCATTTTAAAGCTCTTGGAGCGAGCTTCGATATAGCGAATTCTCAGCTTAATCCGATCGACGGTCTGCACGGCACGCTGCGCGACGTTCAAGGTACTCTTGCTGTTTTGACAAAGTCCTTCTTGATCCCTCTTTCTACAAACTCGGACCCGAGGATAGGGGCTGGTCTTGTACCAGGCACCCAGGGACCCTTGGAGGTGACCCCGAGGAGAGGTTTTAAGTTTGATTAAGTCCTAATAGCTTGAGTTTATTAGGCCCTTACACCAACAGGGCTGAGGGTTTGGCAAAACGTGGCAGCCTGTGCCGAGCCGTGCTGGCGCTCGAGTCAACGCCTATCTGCACACCCAGTCTAGAAATCCTGGACGAACTTCACCTGAAACACCCGCCCGCAAGGGACGTATCGCTGACCTGGCAGAAGACGCATTCTCGGAATTTGTGCATAACCCACGCCGAATTCGCCAACCTTCTGGGAACATGTGAGAATGGCATGGGGCCGGACCGTCAGGCACGATATTCGAGCATCTGTGCGACATGGCAGTAACCAACGCATCGGTCAGCACCAATCTGCACGCCCTAGTAAATTACAATGTTGGGGGGAAACCTGCCAGGCTCGGTAGCAGACCTCCTGACAGCATCCCGCCTCGTAGCTTTGGCCAAGCCCGGAGTAGGGGCCCGGCCAATCGCAATAGGCGAATGCATGACGCGGCTGACTGCCAAGGCTGCCCTTTCGGTTATGGGCGAAGCTGCCCGCGAACACTTCTTGCCTCTACAGTACGGTGTGGCGGTGCCAGGTAGAGCAGAGGCAGTAATCCACACTGCTAGGGAGTTCTTGGATCGCGAACAGCCTGGTACTGCAAACGGACATCGCGAATGCTTTCAATAGCATTTTACGACAGGCTATCGCAGCTGCTACCACAAGTGAAGATGGCTATGGTAACCCGTCGCAGCTGTATCTGGACTCCAACTTCGCGAGTGAACCTCAGAGAAAGAGAACGTGGCGTTCATCAAGAGGACCCACTTGGCCCACTGCTTTTCGCGGCTGGGATTCATCCCACACCCTGCAACACTGCTGCAGCACATCCCGATGTGCTCTGTTTGGTGTATGCGAACAACGTGACTGGGTGACCCCAGTGCTACTGTAGCTGCTTTCACGTACTTCACTACCAAGCTGGGCCTAAGACACAACCCGCAGAAGTGTCCATCGAAACAACACAACTGCCACCAGGGGTACCGTTCTGCAAGGATGGCATGCGGCTTCTTTGAAGCTACCTGTTGGGTGCAAATGCACATTGCACGACATCCTGCCGTCTGTTTGTACGAGTATGCGTGTGCGAATGCATTTGCGTGTGAATGGTGTGTTCGTGTGTTTGTTTGCTTTCGCATTTTTCACTTGATGCATTTGCAGGTACTCGCGCAATGTACGCTTCGGCACAACATTGTACGCGCTATGAACAGTGCAAGCAGAAAGGACGAGCTCGCAAAGGAACCCAAGATGGAAGCTTTGCAGTTCGGTTGAGTTGATTGCGCAGATTCAGTTCTATCCAACTCAAAATTGTACTGTTTTGTTTGGTTAACTATAGTGTAGCAGGGAAGGCACTATAGGGGTACAATTTAGGTGAAGGTTGGATGTTGTTTGTCTGTATCTGCATGCTACAAGGCCAGGGGAAACCAGCGGAACCAGCATTTGGCTGGTTGGGCAAAGACAAAACAGGTTCTGTTTTTAGAACCTGAACCTGGTTGTTGTTTTCCCAGGTTGGAAAAAACAGAACCAGAGGTTGTTTACCAACCTACCACCTGCTATTTTGTCCAGCCAGGTTGGTTCTGTTGCTTGGAATTATTTGGGATCATCCCTGGTTGTTCCCAGGTTGATTCCCAAGGTCCTTGCTAGCTAGAACTATTTAATCCTTCTCTGTTTGTACCTGAATATAGTCAATTGATTCAAGCGAATTCCTTCCTCGCTGGAATTTCGTTTCTGCGCTATTCGACGGCGGAATGCTACCCGAGTCAACGTTAGTATGCTAGCACTCCAACGCTAGGCAAACGCTGTCCGAGCCATAACTTAGTAATGGCAGAACTTTTCGTGAGGCAACTTGGCTCATTTTAAAGCTCTTGGAGCGAGCTTCGATATAGCGAATTCTCAGCTTAATCCGATCGACGGTCTGCACGGCACGCTGCGCGACGTTCAAGGTGCTCTTGCTGTTTTGACTAAGTCCTTCTTGATCCCTCTCTCTACAAACTCGGACCCGAGGATAGGGGCTGGTCTTGTACCAGGCACCCAGGGACCCTTGGAGGTGACCCCGAGGAGAGGTTTTAAGTTTGATTAAGTCCTAATAGCTTGAGTTTATTAGGCCCTTACACCAACAAGCTGGTATCAGAGCTGCGTTATAGTGATCCTCGTTATAGGTAGCTATGGCGGGTAACACCTCGGCGGGAGCTGGTGAATCTTCAGCCCAAGATCGTAGCGGCAGCCAAGATTCTGGTCTTTCAGCGCCAAGTGTTGGTGTAAGGGCCTAATAAACTCAAGCTATTAGGACTTAATCAAACTTAAAACCTCTCCTCGGGGTCACCTCCAAGGGTCCCTGGGTGCCTGGTACAAGACCAGCCCCTATCTTCGGGTCCGAGTTTGTAGAGAGAGGGATCAAGAAGGACTTAGTCAAAACAGCAAGAGTACCTTGAACGTCGCGCAGCGTGCCGTGCAGACCGTCGGTCGGATTAAGCTGAGAATTCGCTATATCGAAGCTCGCTCCAAGAGCTTTTAAATGAGCCAAGTTGCCTCGCGAAAAGTTCTGCCATTACTAAGTTATGGCTCGGACAGCGTTTGCCTAGCGTTGGAGTGCTAGCATACTAGCGTTGACTCGGGTAGCATTCCGCCGTCGAATAGCGCAGAAACGAAATTCCAGCGAGGAAGGAATTTGCTTGAATCAATTTGACTATGTTCAGGTACAAACAGAGAAGGATTAAATATTTCTAGCTAGCAAGGACCTTGGGAATCAACCTGGGAACAACCAGGGATGATCCCAAATAATTCCAAGCAACAGAACCAACCTGGCTGGACAAAATAGCAGGTGGTAGGTTGGTAAACAACCTCTGGTTCTTTTTCCAACCTGGGAAAACAACAACCAGGTTCAGGTTCTAAAAACAGAACCTGTTTTGTCTTTGCCCAACCAGCCAAATGCTGGTTCCGCTGGTTTCCCCTGGCCTTGTAGCATGCAGATACAGACAAACAACATCCAACCTTCACCTAAATTGTACCCCTATAGTGCCTTCCCTGCTACACTATAGTTAACCAAACAAAACAGTACAATTTCGAGTTGGATAGAACTGAATCTGCGCAATCAACTCAACCGAACTGCAAAGCTTCCATCTTTGGTTCCTTTGCGAGCTCGTCCTTTCTGCTTGCACTGTTCATAGCGCGTACAATGTTGTGCCGAAGCGCACATTGCGCGAGTACCTGCAAATGCATCAAGCGAAAAATGCGAAAGCAAACAAACACACGAACACACCATTCACACGCAAATGCATTCGCACACGCATACTCGTACAAACAGACGGCAGGATGTCGTGCAATGTGCATTTGCACCCAACACACTCCCCCTCAGCCTGCCGGCTGCATCCCCGTCATTCCATGCTAGTTCATGCTCATTCCACTCATGCGCACACAACGCCAATGAGGCTCATCCGCAAGCCTCTTGGTGAGAAAGTCTGCTGGCTGCTGGTGAGTCTTGATGTAGATTGGATTCACCGTCCCCCTCTTCACCTCCTTACGCAGCCAGTGCCACTTGATACGCATGTGCTTGTTCAGCCCATGAAGCACAGCGTTTCTGGCCATCCCAAGAGCCCCCTTGCTATCACAAAACAGCGGCGTAGCAACTTTCTGCTCCTGGCCAATCTCCTCTAACAGCCTCCTCAGCCAAATCACCTCCTTCACCCCATGGAACATCGCCATGTACTCTGATTCTACGGAAGAGAGTGCCGTCTCCGTCTGCTTCTTGGACCTCCAACTAACAGGTCCTCCCCCAACTACGCAGATGTATCCTCCCACAGATGAGGAATCCTCCTTCTCAGAAGCCCACGTAGCATCGGTAAAGCAAGTGAGAAATAGCTTGCCTTCTCCAAGCCTCTCCCCCTTCTCTTTCAGCACCTCCACCCCTTTCTGCTTCACCTGTGCAGATGCGGAGTATTGAACTCCAATGCTTGGGTGAGAGTTCAGGTACTTCACCACACGCTCAGCTGCATCCACCTGCTCCTCTGATGGATTCTGCACCACCCTAGCCAGCTGCCCAACCGAGAAAGAGATGTCGGGCCTCGTGTGAACTGCTGCGTACAAGAGGCTGCCCACCAAGGACTGAAATTGCTGCTGCTCTTCAGCTTCAACCCCTTCATCCTCTGCAGCCTTCACAAGCTTGAATTCTGCTGGCAGGGGAGTTGCAACCTTGCGCTCATTCTCAATCCCATACTTCTCCCCCAGCTCCTTGATGAACTTCTCCTGGTGCAGCTTCAACCACCTGTGATCTGGATCCCTCTCCACGTGCATCCCGAGGTAGTACTTTACCTCCCCAAGGTTCTTGCACTTGAAGTTTTCCATCAGTTGCTGCTGCACTTTCTGGATCTCCTTCATGCTGCTGCTGAAGAGAAGAATGTCGTCCACATAGACCAGAAACAGCACCAGCTTCTCCCCCTCGCCCTTGAGAAAGAGGCTCTCATCACAGCTGCTGGTCCTGAATCCCATCTCCTCTAAAACAGCTGCCAACTTCTGGTACCAGCAGCGTGGCGCCTGCTTCAAGCCGTAGATGGACTTGTTGAGCTTGCACACCCTGCCCGTACCATCCTCATACCCAGGCGGCTGCGTCATGTACACATCCTCCTCTAAAATCCCATTCAGGAATGCCGTTGAAATATCCATCTGAATGATGAATTTCCCACTAACAGCTGCATCTGCCAACAAGACACGGAGGGTAGGGGGTTTGGCAGTGGGAGCAAAGATCTCGTTGAAGTCCTGCTTCTCCTTCTGCATAAACCCCTTCGCCACCAGCCTACTCTTGTAGATGGTGACCTGCCCCTTGTCATCGGTCTTGATCCTCAGCACCCACTTGCATTGTATCGCTTTCTTCCCATCAGGCAGCACCACCAGATCCCATGTCCTATTCTCCAGCAGACTCTGGTACTCAGCATCCCTAGAAGCCAGCCACTTGTCCCTATCTGGTCCAGCTAATGCCTCCTCCATGCTAGCTGGTTCCTCTGGTGCAGGGGCAAGAAAACAGTACGCAGGCTCATCCTCCTCATCCGGGTCATAGCCATGAGGTAGAATCAGCAATGCCTCTTCGGTCCCTAGCTGCTGCTTCTCTCCTCCCTCGGGTCCAGCAGCTCCACTAGTGCTGCCGCCAGTTTCCACACCATTTTCTCCACCAGCAGATGCCTCCTGTACCTTCTCTCCATCACCATTTCCAGCAGCTGCCTCCTCTCCCTCCTCCCACACACTAGGAGTCAGGTCCAGCTGCATGGTGATCTGCTCCATCTGCTGGGACACCCTTGCCTCCGGCTGTTTCTCCCAGCTCCCATACATCATGCCCTCAATGAATTTCACATCCCTGCTGTCAAACAACACACCCTTGGATGGTTCCCACAGCAGCCATCCCTTGCTCTCAGCAGCCAGCCCCAAATGCACACACCAGATTGCACTCGCCCCCAACTTACTGCGGTAGGTCTTGGGGACGTGGGCGACTGCCATGCAACCGAACACCCTCAGCATGTCCACCGGCGGCTTCCTCCCAAGCCACCTCTCCAACGGCACCCACGAGTCATCCCCAACCTTGGTGAGCACCCTGTTCCTAGCGACAGTGGCGTGCCGGACAGCATGAGGCCACATAGAATTGCTCAGCCCAGATTCTATGAGCAGCGCCCTAGCTGTCTCCAGAATGGTCCGGTTTGCCCGTTCTGCTACACCATTGGACTGTGGGGTATAAGCCGTGGTCAGCTCTCTCTGGATGCCCTGCTTCTTGAGCCAGGCCGTCATTTCAGCTCCAAGGAACTCACCACCCCGGTCTGTCCTAATCCGCTTCACTACACACTCCGCCTGCTTCTCCACGAATGGCAGCCAATCGTCCCGTATCGTGGAGGCGGCGTGGTCCTTCTGCTTCAGCGGATACGCCCACATCAGCCTGCTCCAGTCATCCACAATTGTAAGAAAATACCGCTCCCCCTTGTGCCCTTGCACCGGCAGCGGCCCCACCAAGTCCATGTGGACCAGCTCCAAAGGCTTCTTGCTCCTGCCAGCCACACTATGGAAAGGGAAACGGGTGAACTTTGAAAGCAAACAGATTTCACAGTTGTCATCGGGTGGCTGTCCGTTCAGCTTCAGACCCTTAACGGCTCCATCCTTCTCCAGCTGCTTCAGCAAAGGCATTGCCACATGCCCTAAGCGCCGGTGTGCCGTTGCCCAATCTGTCTCCCCAGATCTGGCCGACACTTTCACACCAACCCCTCCAACGGCATTGCACTCCCCCTGGGATGCAGACCCCTCTCCAGCCTGCCCCCCACCATGCCACGCCAGGGCCGGCAGCTGCCACATAGATCTGTACACGTCCTTGCTCTCGTGCAGATCCCAAAGCACCCGATTGCCCAGCTTCCCCTTATAAGTGCGTGCCCCATCCGTGTTGGTGTTCACCCCAGCCTTGCCAAGCTTACGGAGGGAGATAAGGTTGGCCTTCAGGTCGGGGACGAAGAGAACGTCGTGCAGCACCACCGGCTTGCCATCCGCTCCCTTAAACGCAGCTCGTCCCGCACCAGCCACCTTCAACATGTGTCCAGAGGCGGAGCACACTTCATTGATCGGTGCAGCTCGTACTTCGTCCAGCAGGTCCTTGCGCGGCGTCATCGTCCAAGCAGCGCCTGTGTCCAACACCCAATAGTCTAGGGGGTGCAGCTCTGCTCCAACTTTGGCAGAGGCGTCTCCTTGCTCCCCCTTGTCTCCCACATGGAAGAATTGGCCCGCGGTGCGCTCCTTCTTCTTCTCCGCACCGCCGTTGCCCTTCGGGTTGTTGTCGGACGAATCAGCGACCATGTTGGCGCCGTTTTTCTGGTTCCTCCGCGCGCCGCCATCCTGGTGACGATTCTGGGGGGTCCATCCATCGGGTTTCTTATAGCACAAAAACCAGGGGTGCCCTTCCTTCTCACAATACCAGCAACTCCCTTTCATTTTGCCACCAGCACCCGACTTGCCCCCACGTCCAGATTTCGCACCGCGACCCCAACCGGTACCTCCTTGTTGGTCGTTGGAGTCGTCGTCTTTCTTTGCACCGCGTCCAGCACCACCGAAGCCACGTCCTCTGCCACGTCGGCTCCCTTGCATCCCGTAGCCGCTGCTGCCGTCGTCTCCACCCCTCAGTTGGCGGCGACGGAAGTCCTCCTCCAGAATCTTCGTCCGCACCCACTCGAGCGTCCACAAGCTCTGGTTCTGCGGCAGGCTCAATCCGCTCGTAAATTGAAGCCACGATTCTGGCAGCAGCGAGAGCATCTTCAAGCACTTGGTCTGCTCCGGGTAGGTGATTCCCGCGGTCGCCAACTTCGCGTAGAGGTCGCGCATCTTGTCCAGGACTGGTTGCACCGGCTCTCCCTCGCTCAGGCGCAACGCGGACAGCTCCCTCTCCAGCATCAACGTTGCGACAACGGAGGTCGGGGCGTGCAGCTCCTTCAACACGGTCCACGCCTTCGGACCGCATTCAACCTCCGGCAGCAGGTGCATGACGTGGTGACGCTGGTTCAGCTCCAAACTCTGCGACATCAAATAGTAGCCAGCCGAGGAGCGCTCGTCCCAATCTTCCTGCAGCGTGGGGTCACTCGGTCTAGGCTCCTCCCCAATCATTAGTTTCAGCAAACCGATCTGACGGAAATATAATTGCATTTTCCAGGCCCAATCATCATAGCCCTCACCATTGAACTTCTCGACGGTGAAATTCTTCAGCACCTCCTTGACAAGCGAGCCCTGGTTTGTTCGCGCTCCCCTTGGCGCTGAAAGACCAGAATCTTGGCTGCCGCTACGATCTTGGGCTGAAGATTCACCAGCTCCCGCCGAGGTGTTGCCCGCCATAGCTACCTATAACGAGGATCACTATAACGCAGCTCTGATACCAGCTTGTTGGTGTAAGGGCCTAATAAACTCAAGCTATTAGGACTTAATCAAACTTAAAACCTCTCCTCGGGGTCACCTCCAAGGGTCCCTGGGTGCCTGGTACAAGACCAGCCCCTATCCTCGGGTCCGAGTTTGTAGAGAGAGGGATCAAGAAGGACTTAGTCAAAACAGCAAGAGTACCTTGAACGTCGCGCAGCGTGCCGTGCAGACCGTCGGTCGGATTAAGCTGAGAATTCGCTATATCGAAGCTCGCTCCAAGAGCTTTAAAATGAGCCAAGTTGCCTCGCGAAAAGTTCTGCCATTACTAAGTTATGGCTCGGACAGCGTTTGCCTAGCGTTGGAGTGCTAGCATACTAGCGTTGACTCGGGTAGCATTCCGCCGTCGAATAGCGCAGAAACGAAATTCCAGCGAGGAAGGAATTCGCTTGAATCAATTTGACTATATTCAGGTACAAACAGAGAAGGATTAAATAGTTCTAGCTAGCAAGGACCTTGGGAATCAACCTGGGAACAACCAGGGATGATCCCAAATAATTCCAAGCAACAGAACCAACCTGGCTGGACAAAATAGCAGGTGGTAGGTTGGTAAACAACCTCTGGTTCTGTTTTTCCAACCTGGGAAAACAACAACCAGGTTCAGGTTCTAAAAACAGAACCTGTTTTGTCTTTGCCCAACCAGCCAAATGCTGGTTCCGCTGGTTTCCCCTGGCCTTGTAGCATGCAGATACAGACAAACAACATCCAACCTTCACCTAAATTGTACCCCTATAGTGCCTTCCCTGCTACACTATAGTTAACCAAACAAAACAGTACAATTTCGAGTTGGATAGAACTGAATCTGCGCAATCAACTCAACCGAACTGCAAAGCTTCCATCTTGGGTTCCTTTGCGAGCTCGTCCTTTCTGCTTGCACTGTTCATAGCGCGTACAATGTTGTGCCGAAGCGCACATTGCGCGAGTACCTGCAAATGCATCAAGCGAAAAATGCGAAAGCAAACAAACACACGAACACACCATTCACACGCAAATGCATTCGCACACGCATACTCGTACAAACAGACGGCAGGATGTCGTGCAATGTGCATTTGCACCCAACACCTCATCAAGGAGGTGCTGAAGAATTTCACCGTCGAGAAGTTCAATGGTGAGGGCTATGATGATGGGCCTGGAAAATGCAATGATTGGGGAGGAGCCTAGACCGAGTGACCCCACGCTGCAGGAAGATTGGGACGAGCGCTCCTCGGCTGGCTACTATTTGATGTCGCAGAGTTTGGAGCTGAACCAGCACGTACACGTCATGCACCTGCTGCCGGAGGTTGAGTGCGGTCCGAAGGCGTGGACCGTGTTGAAGGAGCTGCACGCCCCGACCTCCGTTTCGCAAGTTGATGCTGGAGAGGGAGCTGTCCGCGTTGCGTCTGAGCGAGGGAGAGCCGGTGCAACCAGTCCTGGACAAGATGCGCGACCTCTACGCGAAGTTGGCGACCGCGGGAATCACCTACCCGGAGCAGACCAAGTGCTTGACGGCTCTCGCTGCTGCCAGAATCGTGGCTTCAATTTACTAGCGGATTGAGCCTGCCGCAGAACCAGAGCTTGTGGACGCTCGAGTGGGTGCGGACGAAGATTCTGGAGGAGGACTTCAGTCGCCCCAACTGTGGGGTGGAAACGACGGCAGCAGCGCTACGGGATGCAAGGAGCCGACGTGGCAGTTGCTTCGGTGTGGGACCGGTTGCAAGAAAGACGCGACTCCAACGACAACACGGAGGTTTTACCGGTTGGGGTCGCGGTGCGAAATCTGGACGTGGGGGCAAGTCGGGTGCTGGTGGCCAAAATGAAAGGGAGTTGCTGTATTCTGAGGAGGAAGGGCACCCCTTGGTTTTTGTGCATATAAGAAACCGATGGATGGACCCCCCGAATCCGTCACCAGGATGGCGGCTTGCGCGGAGGAACCAGAAAAGAAAAACGCGCCCACATGGTCGCTGATTCGTCCGACAACTAACCGAAGGGCAACGCGGTCGAGAGAAGAAGAAGGAGCGCACGCGGGCCAATTCTTCCATGGGGAGACAAGGGGGAGCAAGGGAGACGCCTCTGCCAAAGTTGGCGCAGAGCGCACCCCTGAACTATTGGGTGTTTGGACACAGCGCTGCTTGGACGATGACGCCGCGCAAGGACCTGCTGGACGAAGTACGAGCTGCACCGATCAATGAGTGTGCTCCGCCTCTGGACCATGTGAGGTGTTGGGTGCAAATGCACATTGCACGACATCCTGCCGTCTGTTTGTACGAGTATGCGTGTGCGAATGCATTTGCGTGTGAATGGTGTGTTCGTGTGTTTGTTTGCTTTCGCATTTTTCGCTTGATGCATTTGCAGGTACTCGCGCAATGTGCGCTTCGGCACAACATTGTATGCGCTATGAACAGTGCAAGCAGAAAGGACGAGCTCGCAAAGGAACCCAAGATGGAAGCTTTGCAGTTCGGTTGAGTTGATTGCGCAGATTCAGTTCTATCCAACTCGAAATTGTACTGTTTTGTTAACTATAGTGTAGCAGGGAAGGCACTATAGGGGTACAATTTAGGTGAAGGTTGGATGTTGTTTGTCTGTATCTGCATGCTACAAGGCCAGGGGAAACCAGCGGAACCAGCATTTGGCTGGTTGGGCAAAGACAAAACAGGTTCTGTTTTAGAACCTGAACCTGGTTGTTGTTTTTCCCAGGTTGGAAAAACAGAACCAGAGGTTGTTTACCAACCTACCACCTGCTATTTTGTCCAGCCAGGTTGGTTCTGTTGCTTGGAATTATTTGGGATCATCCCTGGTTGTTCCCAGGTTGATTCCCAAGGTCCTTGCTAGCTAGAACTATTTAATCCTTCTCTGTTTGTACCTGAATATAGTCAAATTGATTCAAGCGAATTCCTTCCTCGCTGGAATTTCGTTTCTGCGCTATTCGACGGCGGAATGCTACCCGAGTCAACGCTAGTACGCTAGCACTCTAATGCTAGGCAAACACCGTCTGAGCCATAACTTTGTAATGGCAGAACTTTTCGCGAGGCAACTTGGCTCATTTTAAAGCTCTTGGAGCGAGCTTCGATATAGCGAATTCTCAGCTTAATCCGACCGACGGTCTGCACGGCACGCTGCGCGACGTTCAAGGTACTCTTGCTGTTTTGACTAAGTCCTTCTTGATCCCTCTCTCTACAAACTCGGACCCGAGGATAGGGGCTGGTCTTGTACCAGGCACCCAGGGACCCTTGGAGGTGACCCCGAGGAGAGGTTTTAAGTTTGATTAAGTCCTAATAGCTTGAGTTTATTAGGCCCTTACACCAACAAGCTGGTATCAGAGCTGCGTTATAGTGATCCTCGTTATAGGTAGCTATGGCGGGCAACACCTCGGCGGGAGCTGGTGAATCTTCAGCCCAAGATCGTAGCGGCAGCCAAGATTCTGGTCTTTCAGCGCCAAGGGGAGCGCGAACAAACCAGGGCTCGCTTGTCAAGGAGGTGCTGAAGAATTTCACCGTCGAGAAGTTCAATGGTGAGGGCTATGATGATTGGGCCTGGAAAATGCAATTATATTTCCGTCAGATCGGTTTGCTGAAACTAATGATTGGGGAGGAGCCTAGACCGAGTGACCCCACGCTGCAGGAAGATTGGGACGAGCGCTCCTCGGCTGGCTACTATTTGATGTCGCAGAGTTTGGAGCTGAACCAGCGTCACCACGTCATGCACCTGCTGCCGGAGGTTGAATGCGGTCCGAAGGCGTGGACCGTGTTGAAGGAGCTGCACGCCCCTACCTCCGTTGTCGCAACGTTGATGCTGGAGAGGGAGCTGTCCGCGTTGCGTCTGAGCGAGGGAGAGCCGGTGCAACCAGTCCTGGACAAGATGCGCGACCTCTACGCGAAGTTGGCGACCGCGGGAATCACCTACCCGGAGCAGACCAAGTGCTTGAAGATGCTCTCGCTGCTGCCGGAATCGTGGCTTCAATTTACGAGCGGATTGAGCCTGCCGCAGAACCAGAGCTTGTGGACGCTCGAGTGGGTGCGGACGAAGATTCTGGAGGAGGACTTCCGTCGCCGCCAACTGAGGGGTGGAGACGACGGCAGCAGCGGCTACGGGATGCAAGGGAGCCGACGTGGCAGAGGACGTGGCTTCGGTGGTGCTGGACGCGGTGCAAAGAAAGACGACGACTCCAACGACCAACAAGGAGGTACCGGTTGGGGTCGCGGTGCGAAATCTGGACGTGGGGGCAAGTCGGGTGCTGGTGGCAAAATGAAAGGGAGTTGCTGGTATTGTGAGAAGGAAGGGCACCCCTGGTTTTTGTGCTATAAGAAACCCGATGGATGGACCCCCCAGAATCGTCACCAGGATGGCGGCGCGCGGAGGAACCAGAAAAACGGCGCCAACATGGTCGCTGATTCGTCCGACAACAACCCGAAGGGCAACGGCGGTGCGGAGAAGAAGAAGGAGCGCACCGCGGGCCAATTCTTCCATGTGGGAGACAAGGGGGAGCAAGGAGACGCCTCTGCCAAAGTTGGAGCAGAGCTGCACCCCCTAGACTATTGGGTGTTGGACACAGGCGCTGCTTGGACGATGACGCCGCGCAAAGACCTGCTGGACGAAGTACGAGCTGCACCGATCAATGAAGTGTGCTCCGCCTCTGGACACATGTTGAAGGTGGCTGGTGCGGGACGAGCTGCGTTTAAGGGAGCGGATGGCAAGCCGGTGGTGCTGCACGACGTTCTCTT